ATTGGGAAAGGGAGGGTTACGAAATCTGCTGCATGCAGCTGGTTTCGGCCCCACCGAGGGGCCCATTCCTCGATACGTAGGCGCCTCCCGGCTCCGGGAGGCGCTGGGAAAATCAGCTACGTGAGCTGATTCGTACCCCCCCCCGTTTGCTATCCCCCCCCTTTCGCCCAGCTTCGGGAGCAAGTTTTGTCCAGGCCGTCGGAATGACCGTGACCTCCGCTGTCTGGTAGCTCTCCGGCTCGGGGGGCAGAAGTTGTGCGCCTGGCCGGTCGTGCTCCAGCCGCATCCTGTCGGAGTTTAAAGAGTCGGGGGTCAATGCAAACGGGGGTCAGCCAGCGGATCCTGCGAAGGTCCCCTCTGGCTGACGCGGGCTAGCGCGCCGCTCGTGGCCGCGAGGAGGCCGTGCATGTTGGCTGACCCGGGTTTGCGAAGCCCTGCGTTGCAGGTTTTTTCTGTCCTGCATGGCAATTTTTGGATTTTCTGCTGACCCGGGTCTGATTTGCCCCGCGTTAGCAGATCCCCGAGCCTGTCGTCGATCGAAGCGGAACTGAAGAAACAGTGCGTTTTCTCACCCGCCCGCGCTCTCACATTCGATCCTGCAGTGCAGCATGCGCGAACGCGTGCCTGGCGGTATGGCGGGAGCTGGTTCGTGCTCGTGTAATGCGACGCGTGTCTTTGGCAATGGTCGGTGCCACCAGGGCTTGGAAGGTGCCAGTCCTCAACCGATGAGGCTTCAGACCAGCGTGCAATTGGGTGTGTGTTGGTCTTGGGTGGCCGAACAGTGCACCGTGCCCCACCCACCTACTGCCCCTTCGGCCACCGACGCCGGCATCGCTTGCGTGGCGCTTGGCTGACTCGAGTTGGTGCGCGGATGCGACGTTCCCGTTTACAGCGGGGTAACGAACGAACGAAGGAACACACACACACGCGCACGCACACAGATACACAAGACACACAGACACACAGACACACAGACAGACAAAGACAGACACACATATACACATACACATCCACACGCACAAACATACACACAACAAAATACAACACAACACAGCACAACTTAACACGACACAACACGACATAGCACAACACAGCAAAGCACAACACAACGTAACCCATAAAACACACAACATACAACACACAACACACAACACACAACACACCACACGCAACACATATCACACAGCACACAACATAAGATACAGCACACAACGCACAACACACAACTCAGAGCACGCGACACAGAACACAGAGCACACAGCACACAACGCGCAATACATGCAACACGCACAACACACAACACACATCACGCAACACACAACACACACCACAACACACACACACAACGCACAGCACAACAGACAACACACAACACACGCAGCGCACAACACACAGGACACAGGTTACAGCACGCAGCACACAACACACAGCACAACACAGACGATACGCACAACACACAACACACACAACACACGCACAACACACAACACACACAGCACACACCACACAACACACACCACACACCACACACGCATCACATATGAACATATATACAACAAACAACACACAACACATCACACACCACACTCACCACATACAACACACCCACCACACGCTCTACACACCACACCACACACCACACACACCACACACACCACACACGACACACAACACACAACACACAACCCACACACACCACACACAACACCACTGCAGCACGCACAACGCACTCAACACACAACACACAACAAACTCACCACACACCACACACACGCCACACACACACACCACCCCACACACCACACACACCACACAAACACCACAAACACCGCACACACCACACACCACACACCACACACCACACACACCACACACATCACAAGCACCACTCACACCACACACACCACACACACCAGACAAACACCACACACATACACCACGCACACCACACATCACACACACCACCACACACACCACATGCACCACACACACCCACACACACATACCACACACACCACACACTCACCACACACACACACCACACAGGCAAACCCCGCAAACAACACGCACACCACACACACCACACGTGCCACACACCACGCACACCACATGCACCACACACACAAGCACCACACACACAACACACACCACACACACCATACATACCACACACACATCACACACACCACAAATACCACACACCACACACACCACACACACCACACACACCACAGACCCCACACACACCACACACACCACACACCACAGACCACACACCACACACACACCACTCACACCACACACACCACACTACACACACCACAAACCACACACACACCGCACACCACACACCATTCATTACTCACCACTCACCACGCACCACACACACCACACACACACCACACACACCACATACACCACACACAGCAGCCACTCACCCACACACACACACACACCCACACCACACACACACACACACCACACACACCACAGACACCACAAACACCACGCACACACCACGCACAAAACCCACACACCACACACACCACACACACCACACACTCACCACACACACCACACACCACACACACCAGGCACACCACGCACACCACACACCACACACACCACGCACACCACACACACCACACACACCACACACTCAACCTCACACCACACACACCACACACAGGAGGCAAACAAAACACACCCACACGCGCCACACACACACACCACACACACCACACACCACCCACACACCGCGCACACCACACACACACAACGCATCGCGCACATACACACACACGCACACCATACACTCCACACACACCAGACATACCACACACACCAGACGCACCACCCACACCACACACACCACATGCACCACACACACTACACATCCAACCACACACACACCACACACCACACACCACACACACCACATACACCACACGCACTCCACACACCACGCACATACCACACACACACTACACACCCAACCCTAGCCTCACACCATACACCGCATTCAACGCACACACATGACACACACCACACACACACACACCGCACACCACACACACCACACACCACACACACCAGACACACACAACACACACCCACACCACACACACTACACATACCACACACACCTCACATAAACACCACGCACGCCACACACCACACACATTACACACACCACACATTACACAAACCATACGCACCACATGTACCACGCACACACCACACACCACACACACACCACACGCTCCACACACCACACACACGACACGCATCACACACACCACACACACCCACACACACAGCACACACACACACTGCACACACCCACACACCCATAGACACACACCCCACACACTCACACACGCCCACGCACCAGACACACACCACACACACCACACACAATCACACGCACACACTCACACCCACCCGTCCACCCACCTACCCACTCACCCACCCACCAACGCACCCACACACCCACGCAATCACACACCCACACACCCACACACCCACACACCCACACACCCACACACACACCCACACACGCTACACACCCACACGCACACACACAGACACACCCACACCACGCACCCACACACCACACAGACTCCCACGCACACAACACACCCACACGCACACACACACCACACACACCCACACACACACACACCCACACACACACACCCACACACATCCACACATAACCACACACCCCACACACACCCACACACACACACCAACACCCAAGCGCCCACACACACACACACCCACAGACACACACCAACACACTCACACACCCACACACACCCACACACACCGACGCACACCACACACACCCATACGCTCCCACAGACACGCACACACACACCCACACACCACGCACTCACCACACACATCCACACACACACCACACACACCCACACACACACCCGCACACGCACACACACACCACGCACACCAACACACACCTACACACCATCCACACCCACACACATCAACACACACACACACACCAACACACACCCACACACCCACACACACACACACCCACACACCCACACACCCACACAACCTCGCACTCACACGCGCACACACCCACACATCCACACAGCCATTTATCCACACACCGACGCACTCACACACCCACACGCTCGCACACGCACACTTTTCGCGTCGGCGGCTCGGCAGAGGGCGACTGAACTGGCGAAAAGGCAACAGTGGACACGCTGCATGCAAATTTGGACCGCGATGCACGGAAGGAGGAGGAGGAGCCCAGGCGCGACAGGAAGAGAGGAAGCCGGGCCACTCAGAACTGCTGGCTCACACGCGCACACACACACACACCCACCACACACACACGCACACAAACAAACATACGCACACACGCACACACGTACACGCGCACACGCACACACGCACACACGCGCACATGCATAGACGCACACACGCACACACGCATGCACGCGCACACGCGCACACGCGCACACGCGCACACGCGCACACGCTCGCACGCGCACACGCGCACACGCGCACACGCGCACACGCGCACACGCGCACACGCGCACAAGCGCCCTCGCGCACACGCGCACGCGCGCACGCGTGCACGCGCGCACGCGCGCACGCGCGCACGCGCGCAAGCGCGCGCACACGCGCACGCACACGCACACGCACACGTACACGCACACGCACACGCACACGCACAAGCACACGCATACGCACACGCACTCTCACACGGCGCACGCGCACTCGCACGCGCACGCGCACGTCGATCTGGAAGCCGCCGATCGTTCAAGGCTGAACGATCCACGCGGTGTCAGAAACCAGTGCCGGGGTCGTCACGACACGAGCCTGCCGTACCCATGCCGACACGACATGCCCCTCCCTCCATTCTCTCGCCATGGGTTGTGCCTCCAGAGGGGGGCACCCGTCGCGACGGGGTCGTTTCGGCAGGAGCCTGCCGTGCATGGTTTGTTTTGGCTTCCCAGGAGCTTCGAGGGGGCGGGCGCCTCCGCGCCCAGCCGGGCCCCCCTGCCGCCGCTGGCGGGGGGCGCCGATGCGGGCTCGCAGAGCGCGCGGGGCCCCCAGGAGATCGGGGGGGAGAGGGCGTGCAGTCAACCCGCAGAGTAAGGATAGGCATCCCTCCCAAGGGTTCCCTTGCATCCTTGCCTTCTCGGCCCATCCTTGGACGCTTTCGTTGGCGGCGGCCCGCTCGAAACGCTTCGAAATGAGCGTCCAAGGGCCTTGCATCCTTATCGCGCATCCTTACTCTACGGGCCGACTGTATGTACAGCCGAGATGCTGAAAGAAGGACTGCTTTGGGTGCGGAAGGGGCTCGCGGTCCCTTGGGTCATTCCGTGGGTTTCTCTCCGGCGCTCCTTGGGTCATCCTTCGGGGGGGGGAACGTTCGTCGTCGTCGACGTCGTCGTCGTCGCCGCCGCTGCTGCCGCCGCCGCGGCCGCCGTCGTCGTCGTCGTCGTCGTCGTCGTCGTCGTCGTCGTCGTCGTCGTCGTCGTCGAGGACTGAGGTTCCAGGATCGAGGCTCGAGGATCGAGGCTGTTGGACGTCCTCGAACCTCTCTGTGCACCCTGGGGAGCCCTCGCTGCCTCGGTTCGATATTCTTGAAATTCTGGCCAGTACCAATCCATGGACACGTCCAGGGGTTCGTCGTCGTCGTCGTCGTCGTCGGTGCAGTCGGCTCGTGTCGTGTCGACGCGGCGACGTCCCCATCGCGGCATTCAAGGATGAACGCCGCCAGTGGCCCAGAATCGGCCGATGTGGGACGATCTGGGGATCGGAAAGCCGCCGATCCTTCAAGGTTGAACGATCCGAGCGGTGTCCGAAGCCAACTCATGGGGTCGTCGTCACGACACGAACCTGCCGCACCGACGCCGATGCCGCTGCCCCCCCTCGCTCTCGCCGCTGCTGCGCCTCCAGCAGCGGGGAGCCCCGTCGCCACGGCTGGGCTCGCCTCGAGCTCCCGCCAGAGAGCGTACCCCAGGGGGCGCCGAGGGCAGGTCCGCGGAGAGTGGCGGTGTCGGTCTGGGGGCCCCCCTCAGGCCAGGGGCGGCCTGACCGAGCCCCTCTCGGGCCGGGCGACAGGGGGGGGATAGCAAAGCGGGGGGCTTGAGCATCGGCTCACGTAGCTGATGTTCCCGGCGCCTCTCGGCGCCGGAGGCGGCCATGCATCGAGGCATGGGCCCCTCGGTGTGGGGCCGAAACCAATTGCCTGCAGCAGATGTCGTAACCCCCCCTGTCCCAATCCCCCCCCTTTCGTCCGGCCCGACCCTGGCGAAGCATCCCCTGCTGTGACGTGGCCCTCGCCTCGCCCCAGCGCGCTGGTGTGCGGCCGGAGGGAAGCGCAAGAGGCGAGGGTGACGCCACGGAAGGGGTCGGTTTGCCAGGGGTCGGTCAGGCCGCGCCCGACAACCCAGAGATTCAACGTATTGAAAAAATCAAGACGGAGGTTTTTCTCAGTTTTTGGCTTCTCGGGGCCCTCGCCGGGCCCCGGGACCGTCAAAAAACGACTGAGGATGAAAAACCGGTCCTGGGGAATGGGTCGAGACTTCCGGGGACCCCGTATTGAAAAAATCACGACGTCGGATCTCTGGGAAGGCGGCGCGCCGCACGGCTCCGGGCCCCGGGCCGTTCTCCGAGGACGTCTCGGGGCGACCGAGGCCTCTCCGGGGTCCCAAGGCCGTGCGGTGACGGACCGCGCGGTGAGGTCGCCGGGGATCTCGAGGTCAAGGCACGGTCTGTCGCCGCACCGTCTTGGGCCCCCCACTCGTACCCAGAAATCGGAACCCAGGGATCCTCCCAGATATTCCCAACCATCCTGCGGTGTTGGGTCCTCGTTCTGAATCCGCAGCGCCCCGTGTTCACTCCTCCTTCCTCTCCAACCTTCTCCTCCCATCCTTGCCTTGGCCCTCTGCATGTCCTCATCGTCATCATCAGCAGCATCATCATCTACATCATCACCATCGTCGTCATCGTAATCACCACCGTTATCATCATCACCCCCATCACCATCATCATAACCATTACCATCACCATAACCATAATCATCACCATCACTAGCGTCGTCCTCATCAGTATCACCACCTTCACCATCGCCATCACCATTACTATCATCACGATCATCAGCAACATGATCAAACACATCACCATCACCACCATCATCACCATGATCACCATCATCATCATCATCATCATCATCATCATCATCATCATACTCACCATCATCAGCAGCAGGCGTCCGCATCAGCATCAGCATCACCATCACCATTACCATCGTCATTATCATCACCATCATCATCACCACCATCACCATTACCATCACCATTATCATAATCAGCATCGTTATCATCACAAGCACCATCATCATCACCATCATCATCATACCCATCATCATCACTATAAACATTAACTTTCTCATCATCAACATCATCGCCATCACCATCACCATCGCTATCACCATCACCGTCATCATCTCCATCACCATCACCATCATCAGCATTAGCATCAGCAGAGCATCAGCATCAGCAGCAACATCGTCACCATCACCATCACCATCTCAATCATCATCACCATCACAATCATCACCATCATCACCATCTCAATCATCATCATCACCATCATCACCATCATCATCATCATCGTCATCATCATCATCATCACCATCATCATCATCATCATCATCATCATCATCATCATCATCATCATCATCATCATCATCATCATCATCTTCATCATCATCGCTATCGCCATTGTCACCATTGTCATCCGTCATTCTGCTCGCTACAGGCCCCCGTGGCAGGGTTCACATGCGTCCCCAGGCCCATGTCCGCACACCCCTCACACGTCTCGCGGCCTCATTGAGAACTCCACCGAAGGCCGCAGTGGCAGGAATCACATGCGCCCCCCCGCCCATGTTGGCACACCCCTCACACGGATCCCGCTTCGCGGACCCATAGGGAGCTCCGGCCGCAGTGGCATTGTTCACATGCGTCCCCAGGCCCAATTCGGCAAACCTCACACGTGTCGCGGGCACATGTGGAGCTCCACCGAAGGCCGCAGTGACAGGAATCACATGCGCCCCCGCGCTCATATCGCACACCCCTCACACGGTCCCCAAAAGGAAGCTCCACCGGAGGCCGCAGTGGCAGGAATCACATGCGCCCCCAGGCCCACTTCGGCAACCCTCACACGTGTCGCGGCCCCATATGGAGCTCCACCGAAGGCCGCAGTGGCAGGAATCACATGCGCCCCCAGGCCCACTTCGGCAACCCTCACACGTGTCGCGGCCCCATATGGAGCTCCACCGAAGGCCGCAGTGGCAGGAATCACATGCGCCCCCCCGCCCATATCGGTACAGTGCTCACACGATTCCCAAAGGAAGCTCCACCGAAGGCCGCAGCGACAGGAATCACATGCGCCCCCCCCGCCCATGTCGGCATACCCCTCACACGTGTCGCGGCTCCATAGGGACCTCCACCAATGGCCGCAGTGTCAGGAGTCACCTGTGCCCCCTTGCCCATTTCGGTACACCCCTTACGTTTCGTTGCCCCATATGGAGCTCAACCGACGGCCGCAGTGGCAGGAGTCACATGCGCCCCAAAGCCAATGCTGGCACGTCCCTCACACGCTTCGCGGCCCCATGTCCACAGGCCCACTTCGGTAACTCACACGTGTCGTGGCCACATATGGAGCTTCACCGAAGGCCGCGGTGGCAGGAATCACATGCGCCCCCCCGCCCATATTGGTACGCTCCTCACACGTGTAAATTGCCCCAAAGGAAGCTCCACGGAAGGCCGCAGCGACAGGAATCACATGCGCCCTCCGCTCATTTGGGCACACCCCTCATACGTTCGTGGCCTCATCGGGAACTCCACCGAAGGCCCCGGCGTCAGGAATTATATGCACCTCCCCGCAAATTTCGGCACACCCTTCACACGTTTCACGGCCTCATCTGGAGCTGCAGCGAAGGCCGCGGTGGCAGGAATCACATGCGCCCCCCCGCACATGTTGGCACACCCCTCACACGCCTCGTGGCCCCTAGATGGAGCTCCGCCAGAGACCGCAGTGGTAGGTCCGATTTTAGGATCAAGACGCAAGGTTAGCGGGCCAACCAAGTGGATTCCGCTAGTCCGCTGCTCGCCCTCAAGTTTCTCGTTGCATCGCACCAGTGCTTGCTGATGCCGCCGCTTTTGATTGTGCAACTTGTGCTCGTTTTATGCGCTTCGCCATGGCTGAGTACTGGAAGTGCACTTGCGGGGTGTTCGACACCAAGGGCTGCAGGAGGTGCGGATAGTGCCAGGCAGCGCGGGAACCACGTAAACCCTGGAGCACAGGCTCGCCGACAGGCGCCGCGTTCTGGGTCGGCGGAAACAAGTGGAGCAAGCAGTGGGACCAAGGGCAGCGGCAGCCTAGGTCGCTCTCGGGATGCAGCAGCCCGCAGCTTCCTTCGGGCGTCACGCTCAGCCCCAGCGCGGTCCTGGCGTGGGCGGGGCTCCCCAGCGATGTTTTCGAAAAGACCAGGGGCGTCATGCCCAATTCTTCTAGCCCATGGTAGAGAAAGCTAGGCGCGCTGCTGCTGCCGGTGTACTGGGCGCCGCTGGGCGCGAAACCCTGCGGGCGGTGGGCAATGCGGCTCTTTCCCTCCAGAACGCCAAGGGCCGCTTGGCGAGCAGTAAGAAGGAGGCTCTCGAGGCGCTGGCGGCGGTGGCAGACGCAGAGAGCGAAGTCCCGAGGCTGGAGAAGGAGCTGGAGCGCGCCAAGCCAGAGGCCGCCGAGCTCTACGGCGCCACTGCGGACTGCATCGATGTCAATCAGCTCAAGACCAGGCTCGCAGCGATTCTCACCAAGAGCGTGTCGCTGGCCGACTTCCTAAGGGCTTCCAGCCGTTGTCAACGAGCTGGGGTAGTCCACCAGCTCGCCAGAGCAGCCGCCTGCAGCCCAGCAGCCTGCCGTCGCGTCAGGAGCAGGCGGGGCTGCGGAAGGAGAAGGGGCTCCAGGAGCAGCGGAGGTACCGGTGCCAGCAGAGACCGTCGAAGCGGCCACGTTCGGCGTCCTCATGGGCTCGGCTGATCCTGGGGGCCTGTACTGGACGCCTGCGGGGACGGCGAGAATGGGCGCGAGCACGTTGCTGACGCGAAACCCTGCGCGCAGCCAAGCGGGTCAAGAGAGACGGAACATAGTGCAAGGAGGCGCCAGATGTGGTCGGCCCTCGCCATCAACGATGGCAAGTGCAGCGCGTTCGAAGCGCGGCTGCAGCACAGCGCGGTGCGCGACAGTGATGCGATGGCAGTTCAGGGAGCGCGCTTCTTCGCGACCACTTGCGACGAGGCGACCGACGAGTCAGGCGAGCGGGAGGATTTCGGGCTCGGCGAGGAGCCCGACGCCGAGAACGAGTGGAGCCAGTGGCGCGAGCCCTGCGCGTTGAAGTTCTGGCGCGAGTGCTTCGACTGGGCTCGGGCGTCCACGGGCCTCGCCGCGGCGCGGCGGGCGACGGGGAAATGCGCCCGCGCGTGGTGGCGCGGCGGGCCCAGTCGCAGAAGGCCCTTGGTCTGGGCTCGCTCAACCGCCGGCAGGGCCAGGGGGCCGCCGTGGCATCTGTCGAGGGCCCGAGCGGAGTGCGTGCTCTCCCTGGTAGTGCTGGCGGCGCGCAGACAGCCCTGGCATTCGGGCCGAGGGGTTCCGCCAGCGCGGGGGATGGAGGCGAACGGGCGGGGCTGGTGACGCGCGGCCAGCCCTGGATCTCGGGCCGATGGGGGTCTGCCTGAGCAGGGCTGCCGCGCTGATGCCTCGCGCGGCCAGCTCCGCGCCGACGCGGGGGGGTCAGGCCTGGGCGCGGATCTTCGTGGTCTGGGATCTTACCTTGGCAAGGGGGCCTTGGCCAGGTTCTCGCGGCGGGAGAGGGCGGGCCGCGTTCATGTGCGGGGCCTGCCATTTCGAGGGCGGCGTGTCGAGACGGCGCGCAGCAGTGAAGCCGGCGAGGGCCTCTCGCATGCCTGCTGCGCGGCGCTTCAGGCGGGCTGTGCCGAAGCCGAGCAGCGCGGCGAGTCCATCGTCGTGGGGTGGCGTGGTTTCGGCCAGAATCCCCGCGGGTTTTTGCAGTCGGGCTTCCGGGGCGCTCTCGGCGCCCCGAAAGTCACCGAGCGCTCCGCGCGGTTCGAGGGCGTGGTTATTGACGCCAAGGGCGGCGCGCAGGAGGGCGGCCCTCGGCGCAGGGCGAGGACTTTCGGCGCGATGAGCAATCCGCGCGGCGAGCAGCCCCGCAGACCGAACGGGCGGGGCGCCTAGGGCATCTGCGAGGAGCGGGCGACCGCCATGCCTGCCCGCAACCTCGGCCACCTGCAGGGCATCAGCCCCTTCGCGACCAGCCCTGCGGACCGCGTGGTTTAGCGGGCGGTGGGCGGCGGCGGGGGGCCTGCGTTCGGCCCGGAAGGCCATCGGCTGCTGCGAGAAGGCAACGGGGGCGGCGTTCGACTCCCGCAGGCCGCGTGACTCGCAGCAGATGGACGACGAGGGCGTGCGTTCTTCGACTTCGTTGTCGGACGCGAGCTTCGCCGCGGAGAGGGCAATCTTCCTCGAGTCCGTCGGCGGACTGATGCCGATAGGGCTTCGGGCGGCTGCGGTGCGCATCCACGGGCAGCTCCGCCGCCTCCGGGCGAGGCAGCGGGGGGGCGACGGCAACGGGCCTGTCTGGCGGATCAGCGCAGGCAGTTGCGGCGGCCGAACCGCGTGGCAGCGGCAGGTGCGATCGGAGCTGAGCTGCGTGATGGTGGCGGCCCGCGCGCCAGGTCTAGGCGTCCGCTTCGGCCCTGAATGAGTTCGGCCGACGGGGCGGCCAGGGGGCGCGACGCGCTGGAGGCCACCTGCCGCTGCGCGCTCGGGGGCAAGCCCGACTGCTACAAGGAGTGCTCGAACGCCGCCCGGAGGTGCGCCCCCGCCAGACGCGAGATGGCCAGGGTGAAGGGTGAGTGAGATCGGGTGGGGCCAGGGGCGGAGAAAGCTTTCGCTCCTTGCGACGGGGCCAGTGGGGCCGCGACGTGGCCGGCGGCGTCGGCTCTCCGGCGCGCTCCGCAGCCTCCCTCACGTGCCGCGCCCAGTCCCCGCGAGGTCCAGGAGTGGGCGCTGCTCCCTGGCATCGCCTTCGAGAAGACGAAGGGCGCTCTGTCCAATTCTTATTGGGCCAAGGTGGGGAACGCTCGGCGCGCTGCTGCTGCTGGGGCACTGGGCGCTGCTTGGCGAGAAGCTTGTCAGGCCTTTGACAAGGCGGCCGCTTGGTGAAACAATGAAGAGAAATAGCGAATTCGCGAGCGGGAGGCATCGACGCTGATCAGCTCGTGGCCGCGCTCGCATAACCGCGGAGAACGCCGCCATGTGCGACTTCCTGAAGGACCTCCAAGCCGTCGTCAACGAGATGAAGCAGGCCACCATCCCGCCAGAGCAGTCGGCTGCGGCTCCGCAGCCCGCAACCGCGCCTGGTGCAGGCCGAGGTTGCAGAAGGAAGAAGCCCTTCAGCAGCGGAGGTGCCAGTTCCTGAAGAGAACGGCGAGGCCGAGCTCGACGTCTTCATGGGCTCGGCCGACCCTGGGGTGCATGTCCTGCCTGGCGGTGCTGGTGGCGCGCAGCCAGCCCTGGAACTCGGTCCGAGAGGTTCCGCCGGCGCAGTGCGCGGAGGCGCCGGGAGGGGGCTCGCCCCTTCCGGCGTTCCCCTCAAACATTTCGCGGCCCCAAATGGAGCTCAACCGAAGGCCGCATTGGGAGGGGTCACATGCGCCCCCGAACCAATGTCGGCATATCCCTGACACGCTGCGCGGCCCCATAGGGAACCCCACCGACGGCCGCAGTTGCAGGAATCACATACGTCCCCAGGCCCCCGTCACGCGCCTCGTGGCACCAGAAGGATTTCCACCGAACGCCCCAGTGGCAGGGTTCACATGCGTCCCAAGGCCCATGTCGGCACAATCGTGACACTCTTCGTGGCCCCAAAAGGGCACCCACCGAAGGCCCATGTGGCAGGGTTCGCGCCCCCCTGGTTGTTTCGGTACACCTCCCATATACATCGTGGCCTCGTAGGGCGCCCCAGCGAAAGTCCATGGCATGCACCGCCCCCGCCTTTCGTTGCCCCTCCCGCCGCCCGCCTCCCCTTGCCAGCACTACTCTGTGCTTCGTGTTTCTTGCGGAACGCTGCTTATGAGGGCAGATGCTAGGTCCCACGCTACTGACAGTTTGGTTGCCTTTCTCCATCGTTTCATCTCCCATGGTACTGGCAGCTGCAGATGGTTGGGTCCTTCGTCAGGCATTCCTTTGTTTTCAATCCGTGGCCCCAGAGCTCCCGACCTGTTCACCAAAGGGTAATTTTACGGCGTGGATCCATTTTTGGTGGTCCGAGGGGCACCGGGCCCCCGAGGTTGAGCTCAAGGAAAAACGCCTGGACTAAACACATCATATCGTCAGATATCCGGGTTGGGGATTCCACCGTCATGAGGAAGAGGAGGAGGAGGAGGAGGAGGAGGAGGAGGAGGAGGAGGAAGAGGAAGAGGAGGAGGAGGAGGATGAGGAAGTGGAGGAGGAGGAGGAAGTGGAGGAGGAAGAGGACGAGGACGAGGAGGAAGGGGAGGAGTAGGAGTAAGAGTAGGAGTAGGGGTAGGAGTCGGAGTCGGAGTCGGAGTAGGAGTACGAGTAGGAGTCAAGCTAGCCAGCTCGAGCGAGTCAAGCATGGCATGCCCAGTCCCACCCGCCCTCCCACAACATAAGAAGCAAAGCTGGCACAACTGGGGGCCGAAGTCACACCGGCCAGCCGGTTTGGTACAGCTGATGCGGCCGCGATGGCGGTTGCCGACGGGAACTGGCGAGCGCGTGTTGAATGCCGCGCACGCATTGCCAGACGAGTCGAGAATGGCCCGGTACACCGCAGGAAGCCAGAGGTGGCCGGAGGAAGCCCGACGGTCTGACAGGACACCCCAAAGCATTTTTGTGAAAAAGCATTGGGTTTTTGATGTTTTTATGTTGAAATGCTTGCAAACACACGGTGTTCGGTAGGATTCTGACATGAACGCGCGAGTGTGCTCTTTGTGGTATTTTTTGCACAGGATTCGCGGCCTGGGTGCATGACAGAGCATCGCGAGTGCACCGCGCGATGACGTGAAATCGCTGGATTTGACCGAATTCTTAAGATTCCTATGGTTTTCCTATGATTTCAGCAAGAGAGCCCGGGCGGGAAATTTGTACAATTTTTGTGAAAAAGCATTGGGTTTTTGATGTTTTTATGTTGAAATGCTTGCAAACACACGGTGTTCGGTAGGATTCTGACATGAACGCGCGCGTGTGCTCTTTGTGGTATTTTTTGCAATGGATTATCGCCGTGGACGACAGGACGTCCATGTCGAGAGGAAAAAATAAGAAAAATGTTGATTTTGTATTGTTTTTTACAGGTTAGGATGGGACCACCCGGATGCGCCCGCTATCTGCCGGCCTGAGGGGGGAGTAGGAGTATATTCTAATAAGGAATAAGGATAGGAGTAGGAGAGTGGTAGGAGGAGGAGAAGGAGGAGGAGGAGGAGGAGGAGGAGGAGGGGAAACCGTTTTAACGCTCCATGCTTTTGGATCACGTCCGCGCAACGTCAAAGAAGACGAGGAGTATGACGAAGTGGACGAGGAGGAAGAGGTTTTGGTTTGAGTGAGCGGTGACCAGGGACGGCATCCTTTGCTCCTTGGGTTCCAGACGCAGTGTGCTTTGTTTTATTTCTCCCACAGGGACTGGGGGATCAGGATGGTATTTTCTGGTGTCGCGAGTCGTCGGTGTCGCTCGAGGAGGCATTCAGAGGAGAAGTGTATTCGGATGGAAGTGCTCTCAAAGACGGACACAGGATAATGCCTTGCGCGGCATGGGGTCTGGCTGTTATTGACCAGCACGGTGATAATGGGCGATTTCTCGCGGCCGAGTGGGGAGAATGCTTCCGCAGACCAGCCCAGCCGCAGAGATTGTTGCAGCGCACGTCGCCCTGACCCAGTTCCCCCACACGACCTACATCATTGCTGATTATCACGGCGTTGTAGGAATGACTGGCTGGCTCCCTGGTAGAATGTACAATCGGATATCTTCTTATGCTGGTTTAACATATGCAAGCCATAGGCCGCAACGTATGCAATGCCCAGGCTATTAAGACCAACTCGCATTTAAATCATGACGCGCTTGCGCCAGGATCTGATTAATGGCTAAGGGCCGTCTGCAATTCGGCGGCTGACAGTGTGCCCAAGACTGGAACTCTCAGCCATACTCGACCCTCCAGCGAGGAGGTTACAGCTGCCCTAGCCGAGAGCAAGGCTCTGAGAGCTTATTTGATTTATGTTGCTAAAGCTGTGCTTGTTTTCGCCCGAGCTCGACCTTCCCCATCCCAGAGGCCGCGATTGCAGCGCAGGCCGAGGGCAGGGGAGGGAGCCATTCCGACGGCGCCTTCATCCGGTGCCCCCGCGGGCTTGGATATATGAGGGCAGGCAGCTCGGGATGGCAATCGCCCCCCCGCTCTTTGCCTTTTCGGGCGGCATTCCTGTTGCGGGGGAGCGTGCCGACCACGTCAAGCCCAGGCCCCTGATGTCCCCCCCGCCCCTGCCCCCTCCTGTTCTCCTCCCCCCGCTTCTCCTCATCAGTGGGCCTGGCAATCCCGCTCCTCACGCTGGAGGTGCGCGGGATGTTTTTTGGAAACGCCAGGACGAGGAACGTCCTGATGCAGACTGTTGTCCAGGTTTTCATGATAGGCTCCGCGATGTGCTGCGCAACCCTAAGGGCCACAAGCTGAACATCGCTGATTTGTCTGCCTACGATGACCGATTCATGACTAGATGTAGCGCCCGTGGAAGTTTCACTTCCGATGGTCGCTCTGTAATTTTACAGGTTGCGTGCGATGAGACATTCAAATCCGATGGCATTAAAGCCGCTAAGAGGCGTTTCGGGGAGCTGAAGAGTCCTTCGTGCAAGCAGGGGCTGGCAAAGGTGCTGGAGCCGACCCTTGCCTTGGACCTTCGCCGAGTGTGAAGTGCCCAACCTTTCCTCTTTCTCATACAGTGCCGTTTTTCATACATGCTCCGCGTGCGGATCATGCATTAAACATGCAGGGATTTAGTATTAGAAACAACGATGAGTTCATGCATAAATCTATTCATATCTTGATCATGTATTAAGCAATCCTATATTTTTTAAACATCCCATGTCTTAAAAACTGCCCTGTGGAGGCTCTGGTTTCGAGAGGGGAGGGGGGGGGCGGGTCTGCCGGGGGGACAGGGCACGATTCGTCCGCTTCAGTCCGGCCGTCACGGTCTGGTCCGTTGAGGGCCATCGTTCGCGGCAGCCTGGCGTTCGACCGGCTGTCGAAAAGGACACGGCGCTTGGCAGTCGAACGGCGGTCGCATAGAGTGCGCTCTAACGTGCAGTTTCCAGCAGGCTCGGGTGCGATGCTGTTCGTGTCAATGAGCACACTGCAAGTACAGTAAGAAGAGTGACAGCGATAGCTGATGTAGATTTTACCGCGCTGGGTTCGACTCAAGGTGCAGGTGCCCGCTGAATACAGACAGGTACAGTTCTGCAGAGAAGTCCGCGGAGGACCCAGAGGGTCCTCATAAGCACTGGGCAGCTTGATTGTGTGGCGGTATCCTTGTCCCTGAAAACCGATGGGTTTTTGACAGCATGCGCCGCGTCCCGCTCTCTGTGCAGGCTGCGTGCTCAGGACAGCCTGCCCTGAACGAGGTACTGGAGGTTTGATGACGATGGAGGTTTGGGGACGATGAAGATTTGAATCACGAGGCAGTACAGACTGCCGTGCTGCCGCCGTTACCTCTATCGCGCTACTGGGACTCGGGGACTTCTGTAAAAAGGAGGAGGAGGAGGTGCGCGACTCCAGAAGGAGGAGGAGAAGAGGGAGGTCCACAGCAACTATCCCTCCTCGATGGCACTCGTGGCTGCGAGCCGGCTGGCCCGCTCCGCGGCCAGCCGCTGCGCTTCGCGGCCAAGCTCCTCAGCCTGGCCGCGCGTGCGAAATCCGAATGCCAGTAAGGCATCGCTCAGTGCCACTCTTGGGCATGGCGCGCCCCACCGAACAGGAGGGCCTAGCGGAGGCTCGGCGGTGCAGGCCACGGGGTCCCCTGCGGCGTCTTCCAATCCGAAATGGCTGGCCCAGGACGCCCGTGCCGTTTCCGACGGGCTGCATGCCTCGTCGATGGCCGCATCCCAGGCCCAGTGGGGGTGCATCCCACGGCCGACGCGGCTGCGTGCATTCTTTGCTCTCGGAGGTGGCTTGCCGTCCCTGAGCAGACAGGGCGCTAAGAGCCGGCCCGTGGCCCCGACCAGGGCACGTGGCGTGGTTCCAACAAGTCGTGCAAACCAGCATTGATGAGGACGCGCCCCGGGGTCCACCCTCTGGGCATCGCCACTCGCGAATCTGGGCTGCAAGGAGGCTGTGCCCGCGCACGCGCCAGGGACTAACCTGAGCCGGAGCGTCAGCGCGCGCCTCGGGATCCGAGCCCGGAAGAGCGGCCGCGCCTGCGTTCGCCGCCGGGGCCGAGCCAGCGCCTGCAGCATCAGCGCGCGATTCTTCTCGAGTTCCCCCAACCTCGCCCTCCGACCCCGACCACCCCTCCACCTCGAGCACAACAGTGCGGAGGGCCTCGAGGCCTTGATGGTTGCGAGTGCCGGCTTCTGTCAGCACGGCCTCCATGCGCCCCGTGTATCGGGTGAGGAGCCGCGCAAGATGGAGGCAACCAAAAATGAAAACGCGGTCATCTTCGGCCAGCCGGCCTTCGGCCGCCCCAGCCTTTGCTAATGCGTCGGCCGCGTGATTCCCGTCACGCTGCCAAGCCGCGATTCGCCCCTCCACGACGTCGTTCCTCGTCGCGTGCGCGAGGACCTTGGAAAAGGTCACGTCCTCGAGCGCATCGCCAGCAGCCGCCTGGCACCACAGGTGGGCGCGGGGCTGGCGGGCTGGCCTGGCCCGCCGGTGCTCGCCAGGTTTTGCCCGCACGTGACAGTGACACTACATTCTGAATGCAACGTGTAGCGGCCGGCGGCGCGCCTTGACGCCATCAGGACAGCATAGTCCTCCCCGTCCTTGGCGGACTAAGACGGGCAAAGATTTCGGGGCAGCACCCTGCGCAGAGAGCCTAAGAAACAAAGATCGGCGTCGTACGCAACCACGGCCCAACGAGCCACCCTCAAGGTGGGGAATTCGGCGTCGAAGCAAGCTCCATCAGTGAAAATGTGCCCGCCGTCGAGCATGAGTCCGGTCAGCGGCCAGCGGTCCGCCCGGAGCTCGGCGCCAGGCGGCAGCGGCGGCCGCCGAAAACACTGGGCAGGATCAGGCAAGAGCTCTCGTGCAAAACGTTCCCCGGCCTCCTCCCCGCCCTCCAGCTATCGAGCGGCGGCATCGCGCACTGCTGGGTCAAGATTGTCCGCCCTCCAGGCGTGGTGCGCTGGGCACTGGAAAAATCTATGATGCTGGGTGCGGGGAGAGCCGCGGCAGCAATGGCAGAGGTCGGACAGCCCAACCCCTCCCACTCCGGGCAGAGGCGGGCCTGGCACCAATGCGTGCCGCAAAGCAGGCCTCGCTGAGCCCGCTTGTGGTGGAGGCTCAGCGGGGGCGTGCAGCAACTCGTTGAGGGGGCACCAGAAGACGGGCGCAACCCAACTGCGGCGGCCAGGCCTGACCAAGCGGCCCATGGCGTGAATCTCGGAGGCTTGCCGGGCCGCCTCCTGCGCCTTGAGACGCAAGAAGGCCGGCGAAAATTCCTGGCGGTCCCAGCGGTAGCCCTTCTCGTCCCTCAGCGTGAACGGGTCGTCCAAGCTCCAGCCGACGCGGAGCAGGGTGAACACCAACAAAAAAAGGAGGAGGAGGAGGAGGAGCGGAGGAGGGGAGGGGGTGGGGGAGGGGGCGGGGGTAGGGGTGAGGGGGAGGGGGCGGGGGAGGAGGAGTAGGAGGAGGAGGAGGAGGTGGGAGGAGGTGAAAGGAAGAGGTAAGAGAAGACGTAGAAGACAAACAAGAAGACGAAATCGATAATACAATCACCGGACAGCTCGCCCCTTGGCCCCCCGCCAGCCCCGCGCCAAGGGGCGAGCATATATACGGGCGCAGCACCTCGCTGGAGGCGTAGCCGTCGGCTGGGCCGACCATACAGATGATGCATCGCGTGGCGGCTGGATGCCCGCGCCGAGCACAGAGCTCTTCTCGGTTCCTCCCTCCTCGTCCTCCTCCTCCTCCTCTTCCACCTCCTCCTCCTCCTCCTACGACTCCTCCACTTCCACCTCCTCCCTTCTGCCGCCTCCTCATCCCGTCCGCGTCCTCCGCCCT